TAGTCTGGAATGTGTATAGGGCTTGGACATTTTGGGGGGTACCCCTCGGTCTCATTTCTTGCTGGGTATATGTGATGGTACGGCCAACAGCCTTGCTGTCATCACTATACGCAAAATATTAATTCCATATTTTCCATATCTTTTCCAGTGATGACACCAGGTTCGTAAACAAAGCATTGGGAACCATGGAAAATGTTTGTTAATACAGCCATAAGATTGTTACAAAGGTTTTCATTATAATAGCACTCTTATGTACAATTTTCTGACCAGCATGAATGGAAGGCAATCATACCTATGACAGCACTGATACGAACAGGATCGAGACGCTCCTTCTCAATGGTTGAAGCTAGATGAGCATTCGATTTTTTCCCAGTTATGCTTCTTCCTGTCACTTCTTCTCTCCTAAAAAGTGCCATGAAAAGGTTGCAGGCCAGTTTTGTTGGTGTGTCACTTACTTGAGTGATGGCAATAAGTCGGACTTTTTTAATCAAAATTCCATTCCCGATGTCCACCTGGATAAAAAAAAAACATACAGAATGAAAATTACAAATTCTAATATGCTACATGCAGTAGCTGCGTTCATATACCGGTACTTATGCAGCCACAAAAATTGGAAGCATTTACTGGGGTGGTCACATGTTGTGAGCAGGTTGGAAGTGTGCCTTTATAACCTTTTCCAAATTCTAAATGGCCAAAAAACATGTAGGCATGGCAATGTGCCTTCTGAGACTTCACATATCATCACCGACACCACGAATTAGCACTCTATTTAAAATAACAAAAAACCTTGAATGCAAGCATTCTAATTTGTGGTGTCGGTGATGATACATAAATCAAACCGAAATACCTTAGGAGAGGCCTTTTTTTTCATTGCTCGAGTTGTCAGTAGTTGATGGGCTTGGAGTTGTGGGCACTGACAGTGTTGAGCTGGCAGGGGTCGATGGCGCTGATGAGCTGGCCGGAGTTGATGGCCGTGATGAGCCAGCTGGAGTAGATGGCCTTGATGAGCTGGCCGAGGTGGGCTGCAGAGGAGCTGTCTCTGACGTTAGGCTCCGTTGGAAAATGTCAGAGCTGTCCTGCAGGTTCTGCACTACTTTGTGTAGGTCTGCAATACAAACAAGGAGCAAGACGTCACAAAAACAACAAAATAACAGTCAGTGAAATTAAGCGAAACTTGAAGCCCTTCCAAACAAAGCAAAGTTGAAATTTCTGTTTCAATTTATGCTTGGGAACTTCTAATTAATAACTATCCTACTGTCTTATGACTTTTGGACAAGCCATGGGAACTACATGTATCATTTTACCTTTATAAACCAACACTTCAGCATGTTCTGCCTTCAAGGCCCTGTATTTTGCCTTCAGGACATCATATTTTCGGCACCGTCTACAGCCCTCAGTCGTTTCGGTTGCAGTTTCATCTTGAGTTCTCTGTTCCTGGGCAAGTGCCTTGAGAATATTCTGGCTACTCTGCAGTGGTTTCTTCTTCTGACGTAGCTCAAGATACAATGTAGAAAATTAAGAATTGCATTTTTTTTCACAAGACGGCATCATTTTTGGGAAGAGACATTTTCTTGCAAAAAAACAATGGTTGTAACCAACAACGCGACACGAACATCACCCCTATTTGGACATCACCCCTAATCACTTATTTATTCAAACGCTTCCTTCGTCCTCTGTCTGATTAGGTTATTTGTACATCCAACATACCCTCAGGATCAACAACTTCCAACCATCCATCCCATTAATATTTGGGTATGTGACTAAGGTCCGCAGAAAGGACGCAGCTGGGCAGATCATTGCAGATAGAAATAGTGGCGTATCTACAGGGGGGAGCAAGGGGGGACATGAGCCCTGGGTGCCACATTTGGGGGTGCCAAAAAGAAGAAGAGAGAAAAAGAAGGGAAAAAAGACGAAATCGAAAACCAACATTACACCTGTTGTTTCATATCATGGCAACATGGGTCCGATTTGGGGCGGTGTTTTCATGTATGGTTTTATTTTACCCTTTAACACGCTACAGATTACTCCACTCAATATTCCCTGCAGGGGTCAAAACAAGCGCCAATACCAAGGGCAGCATTATGTAATGGGGGTGGGGGGCTTGTGACCCTTGATTGCTGGCAGGCTGAAATGGAGAGAACACAGACAAGGTGGTTGGAATAGGAAGTGAATGGTACAGCACTGAAGCATGCTGGACCACACCACCCGGACCAGTGCACCACCCCATCCAGGGTCACTCCACTTTCAAGAAGGGAATCGATCTAACTGTCTACAGTAAGCACAGGTGTAGTGGGCTAAACCAAGTTGAAACTCCAGAAGCAAAAACAAAAAGTGGTGGGGGTGTATCATACAAAAGAAGAAAACAATAAAGAGTAAAATTTTAAGGGGACTAGTAAACAAAAAAGAGGGGGGCACACCTCTTACATCCTCCAACGCTACTCTATTGGCGTCCCTGCCAATACATGTCTGTAGAATAATTTAAATGTTCACTAGTGTTCTTTGATTTCTCCAGTAC